TATGTTAACTTTTCTTAAATTAATTGTTCTTTAACACTGAAGATGGTCCTATAAGGGGCCGAAACGTTTGTCAATCTGTACCTTAACATAGAATTTTACAACACTTCCACCTTGTTGCGGTTTGATGCTCCTTTTTATTTGATTATTTTTAATTATGTGAGCCTTTTGATATATATGTAGATAAATCTTATTGCATGCACTAGTTTTAATGTTGTGACACGATTAATTATTTAAAAAATTAATAAATGGATTTACCGGAATAAGTTTCAGCGGCTTCAAGGTGCTTTGTGTAGAACGAGCAGGGGTTTGAGATCTGATACCCTGCATACTGTTAGTAAATGCAGCCAGAATCAAGCTTGTTTGCTGACTTTGAAATTTTCGCTCTTTTTCTAACTCCTCTTCTTCCCACTTTCTCTGCTCCATCATCTCGTCATGGACCATTTGTTTTTGGAGTTCCATCTGCTTGTTTGTAATGCTGTTAAGTAATTCTTTTTGGTTTTTCAACCACTTGTCAGTATGACTTTGCAGCATTACTTCATAACTTTTTCTTCCTAAATATAAAATTTCTGTACTATAATACGTATATTATACATATGTAAATTAAAAATTATATATCTTCTAGCCCTATATCATTGGTTGTACTCTTATAAATCTTCAAATATGGACTAATAGCGTAGAGCGTAGTTGCAAATTGTGATGTCATCTCTCAAATAGAAATACTTAATAAGGCTATAATAATAAACATTTTATTTATACCAGAAGTTTTTGTTCGTTTCTGTTTTTTGGCTGGTGGGACTTCATTTTCCTTATCTAACATTTCATCAGTCTCTTCAGCAGTTGTACAATTTATTGAATCATTCTCGTTATTAACTAAAATCAAATAAATAATAATATTAAGTCGAATAATTGATGGTACCAATTTGTATTTTCATACTTAACTATATATAATTGCATTAAATAAATATATATTACCTTCTTCCTCATTTATTTCAGCGGTGTTTATTCCTACTTGATCATCGCTGCTGCTAGCTAGGGCACTTGGCCTGCCTCCATATAATATATCTAACTCGTTGTAGAATGGACACGTTGAGGGAGCAGCACCACTGACATTATTATTTCTTTTACATTTGAAATATGCTGCTTTCAAATTTTTTAATTTTAATTTTATTTGCTCGGCTGTTTTTTCATAACCTTTTGCTTGCATTTCGGGTACCAGCATTCGGAAAATCTCTACATGCCGATGTTTCTTTCCATCAATTATACTTAAAATACTTTTTTCCGTGACCAGTTCGAGAAACGTTCGTGTTTCACCATCTGTCCAATTTGCACCCTTTTTACATGACATTTTCACTGTTGATATAAAACTTCTATTCTAACTTTCTAACTTTAACCTCAATCTAACAACAGTCAGCAGCGGCGGTATACACTTGATCCAATTCGAATCGAATCAAGCGTTTACAGCGCGCTGACAT